CTGCCTGGCCTGTCCCCCCATTGCTCCCCRGAGTCTGCTGCCTGTCTCCGCGGACCCGCTGCTGTGTGGCGGCCTCCCTCTGGCCTCAGGCCCCAGCGTCCATCTCTGGGTCCAGTCACGGGCAACTGGGGCCTCTCAGCACTACAAGGATCCCATTCCCTCACCATCCCCTTGGCCTGCCACCTGGCCCGCCACCTCTGCCGTGCCCCAGTGCCACCCAGGGTTGGCTAAGCTCCCCAGCRGGGCAGGGCTCCCTCTGCCCAGGCTCCACGCTGGACCGGGCCTTCTGTTCCTCCCACTCTGGCCAGGACCCACTTGTCCAAGGGTGGCTGCCCCTGCAGGATGACCCCACCACCTACTGGCTCAAGGACTCGAGGCTCAGGAGACCGGCCTGTTCACGCCCTGCAGCCAGGAGCAGGCCAAGTGCCGGACCCCCTCCTGCCGCTGGGCGGTCCACTCTTCCCGGGAGCCCAGGCAGTACAGCCGGCGCTTGCCCAGGTGTGGGGACAACTCTGCCCCTCCTAGTTCTCATCCTCACCACCTGGCCCTGCCGGGCGGCGCCAATGCTCCCCCTCAGCCTCAGGAGCTGTGGGTCCTGGGCAGCCGGGTCCCCGGGGGAGGGCACAGGGTCTGCATGTGGCTGGGCTGGGAAGGCTCGGGGTCCCCTGTCCTCCACAGCCAGCAGGGGTCTGCCCCTCCCTTCCCCCATCACTGCCAAGAGCACCAAGTGGTGTCCCTTTCCTGCCACACATCAGCTCCCTGGGGTGGCCCTAGAGACAGCAGCAAGCCTGCCGTATTCCACCTCTSTGCCTCACCCCCTTGGCCCTCCAGGACCACGTGGCCCCCTAAAGGGCCTTCCCTGAGTGTGGGAAGATGCCAGGTGCCCACTGAGCAGGGCCCAGCCTGCCCCACAGGTAGACCCTCAGCCACCAGGCAGAGTCCAGTGGTGGGGTGTCCCTAGGTCCCCGGGCATGGCTGCCGCTGCCACCCCAGGCTCCTCCCTACCCCTGCCCAGCCTCAAAAGCTGGTCCAGGCCCCACCCAGGACAAAGGGCCACTGCCTGCCTCCCAGCCACCGTCTCCACCCACCAAGGTCCTGCCCTCTGGTCCCCACCTGTCTGCTGCAGCCCACYTCTGGGGCCTGGGGAAGGGTGGCCGTGGCCTGGCAGCAGGTGTCTCTGGTCTCTCATGGTGGACAAAGAAGTCGGTGTCTCCTGTGTCCCTGGCCGACTTGGCGAGTCCAGCCGGATCCTGGTCCTTGGTCCCCGGGCACCCTCACTGCCTGCCGCTGCACACCGGCCACCAGGGCCCAGCCAGGAATCCCAAGTTGTGGGAAAGGCTCCGTCCACCTGTGCGACCCAGCCCGGCCACGCCAGTGCCTGTGGGAGTTGGGGTGCTCCTAGGGGGTCTCTTGCTGACTGGTTCTCAGGGTGACRCTGCCCCAGGGACACTGAGCCACGTCTGGGGACATTGGTGGCTGCACCACAGGAGAGTCCATCACAGACCACTTCATCGATGGGAACAGCGGCTGGAGCCACCAGATCCCGCTCCTCGTGGAGATGGGGGTGGCAGCGGCTCGGCTCCCAGTGAGGCGGCCTAATAACAGCGTGTCAGGCTCCTGCGTGGCTTGTTTGCGTCTCTGCCACCGAAGTCATTAGCGCAGGCGGGGGCGCGGCTCGGCCCCCCCCAGTCTCGGGCCCAGAAAAGCYATGGCACCTTTGGACCTGCCCGACGCGCCCCTGACCCAGCGGCCGCCCCTGCCCTACCTGGGCCCGAGTCTCGGGTGGGCTTCAGGTCAAGGCCAGGGGCCCCGTCACTCCTGAAGATCCAGGCTTCCCCCTCAGTGGCCCCTGGCCATCCCAGCCCCTCCTGAGCAGCAGGCAGGGGCCCAGGCTCCTGAGAGCACCGGAGGGTCCTCTTGGGATGGCTGCCGCCGGGCGCGGGGGCCAGGACGCGTCACACCTCTCCAGCWCCATCCTGCCCCCTCCCAGGCCTCTGTAAACTGCGCCTGTAGCTCCTTAGACAGGGACACAGCTGACCTCTGCCAAGGGCAAAGTGACCCCTGTGGGGAGGCCCTGCTGCCCTGGGGCACAGTGGCAGCCGCAGGTCCTGCTTCCTCCTTAAGGGGTGTGACTGGGGGGGTCCTCTCTGGAAGGACCCGCTGGGCCTCGTCCCAGCTCSGTCAGGCCCACCAGACTGGCCCTATGAGATGGCCCTGGAACAGGGACTGTCCCCTTGGCACTGGGGACCTCTGGGCCGGTGTCGTGGGTGCCAGCAGTGCTCTGGCTCTGGGCTGGGCTGGGGCGGTGTGACCTGTGCCTCTGCTCCAGGCCCTCCACGGGGCTCCTGGCAGAGTGCTGGGGGTCAGAAAGGACCCTGCTGAGACCCAGCCCAGGTCCAAGGCCATCACATTCTAGAGAGGGGYGTGCCACATCCACTAGCAAGAGTGCCCTGAGGAGAGAAGGCAAAGGGACGTTCCACCCAGGGCCCAGGTGACACCTGAGAGGCKCCAGCGGAAGAGCAGTCTGTCCCCAGGCCCTGGGGCTCGCTGCAGCTCCTGGGCCTGGCTGCTCTGCAAAGAGCTGAGCTCGGGTGTTCCGGCGCTTTCCTGCCAGAGGGAGGCTGCAGCAGCTCCCCTCCTCCAAGGTGATGGTGAGGAGCCCCATCCCTCAGGAGCGTCCAGGCCACCTGTGGGGCCAGGCAGCAGCTCGGGGAGGTGCGTGTCCTCCGTGCTGGCCTGTGGTCCTGGGGAGATGCTGGCGGGCTTAGAGACGGCAGCCCATTTGTCTTGGAAGACAAGCTGCGTTGTGACCAATGACCTCCTTATTTTAAAACATTGATGCCAAACTTAACATCAACAAAAAGCCCTGTGGGCCAGACCCCAGACCCCACCGCCTGAGGCCGTGGCAGGCAGCCTCTGCTCACCTGCAGGTGGTATTGGTCCCTAGAGAATGCAGAGTGAAGCCAGCTGCCTCCTGCCCAGGCCGGCCTGGGGATGCCCAGGCCTGGCGTGGCCCTGGCCAGGGGACTGGGGTGAGATCGGGTCCCTGGGGTGGCAAGGCCCGGTGAGGAGCTGGGATTTTGCCCTGGCACTTGGGTGGGAGGTGGATCTGCCAGACAAGACCCACTAAAGGTCCCTGGGCTGGGCCCCAGACGGCCAGGGGTGGAAGGAAGGGCATCAAGAACAGCCCCAGACCCAGCAGCCTGCGCTGTTCAGATCCTGTTGGAACCAAATTCTAGTCCAGGTCCTGCCTCTTCCTCGCTGAGCCACCTTGGGCCAGTTGCTCCCCTTCTCTGAGCCCTGGGAGCTGGACGCACTGGGAGCTGTTAGCATGGATGAGTGGGGACCCTGTCTGGCTGGGGAGCTGGAGGGGCGGGCTAGAGCTGGGGCTGTCCTCTCCCTGCCCAGAAGCAGTCAGCGCTCGGGGAGCCCAGGGACTCTCCAGGGAGGGAGTGCCAGGAAGGKGTGCTGCCTTGGCTTGCTCTGCCTCCCGGGGTCTGCTCTCTCCAGTGTGGGAGGCCACAGCTCCCAAGGAGGGGCAGAGTTGACAGTGCCCATCTCCTTGGCCAGCCATGGGAGAGGCAGCACTGCCACCCTTGTGGGGTGCTCCCATGTCCCGGGGAGGGCAAGGAGGGACCTCAAGTCCCTGGCTTACAAGGCCAGAGCCTGGCCTGGGATCTATAAATAGCAGCAGAGCATGGCGTGCTKCGCGGTGCCCACTCTCCTACCATGAGTCAGCCTGCCCCAGCCTGGGAGAGCCGGAGAGCTGGCCAGACCCCGCCCAGGGCCCTCCAGTCATTCAGGAGACTGGCAGAGACCAGTGGGTGTCAAAGTGGAGGGAGCAGGGCGCCCATCCTGAGCCTGTCTGCACTTGGCTGTTCCCAGCAGCCCTGAGGGGCAGGAGTCCGAGGCCCAGGGAGCCTGGCTGGGCAGGGTTGAGCACACCCTGAAATGAAGGCCAGGCCACCCTCTAAGGCACCCTGCTGGGCCAGCACAGAGCAGGATGGGAAGGAACCCGGGCCTCAGACCAGGAGGCTGCACCTTGACCAGGAGGCAGAGAGAGGCCGGGATGGGAGGACAGGACTGAAGTCAGGGAGAGATGCCCCTGAGCCCTCCTGCTAAGTCCTGCCTGGCAGGAGAGGAGGGGGTGGTCCTGGAGGCAGTGCTGGGTCTCCAAGGGAGCAGCAGGGGCCCACCTCAGCTAGGGCCTGGAAGTGACAATGACAACCAGGGAGCTGAGGGCTTGAGGGCGCCTGGCTCCCACCACCAGCTTACACCTTCCAGACCAGCCTCCAAAGCCCCTCCCAACGAGGGGCACCTTCCTCCAGCATGTGGGGCCTGTGGCTGTGGCACACCTGCCCCCAGGGGACCCTGCAGTGTGCTCCCTGGACCCCAATGTCCAGCCTCCTCCACGATCTGCCAGGTGCTGTGCTTCACTGCACTCACAGGGACACCTCAGGCACACGCACCAAGGTTTATTCCCGGACATTGTGGGGAAGACCAGCGCCTCCCCAGCAGAAAAGGCGAACCTGCTGCCCGGCAGCACTGTGTCCCGGTGGGGCCCACCGTGGCACGACCCCGGCGCATCGGGGACCCAGGCAGCCTGGGCCAGGTACCCGCTGACCCGAGGCCGGCCCCTCGGCCTCTCCACCTTATTGATCCGTGTGTTCATTCCGCCAGGCGTCCCTTGCAGTCGGGGTGAGCTCGACCAGGACCCGCCAGCCCTACCCGCGGCTCCGCCCCAGCCCCTTGCCCCTCTGGCTCCCGCTCCCGCGCATCCTGGGCGCAGGGGCTCCCGCTCGGAGCTGGGGGAGCAGGACCCGCGTGCCCGGGTGCAGGGGTCGGGGCGGGCGAGGCCGGCGCGGGGGCGGCGGTGACCTTGGCGGCCGCGCGGGTCCCAGGCGCGCGGGCGGGGCGGGCGGGGCGGAGCGGAGCGCGGCCCTGCGGGCGGGGACAGCGCGGGCGCGACTGCGGCGGCGGCGGCGGCTCGGGCGGGCGGGCGGGCGGGGGGCGGCGCGGCGCGGACACGAGCCGGAGCAGCAGCGGCCGCGGCGCCGCAGGGACCAGCGGCCCAGGTAGGCGGCGGGGCGCGGCGGAGGGGGTCCCGGCCCCACCCGGCCGGCCGCGGCGCCCGGCTCCCGCGCGCCCCTTTGTCCCGGCCCCACCCTCGCGGGCCTCCGGGCGGTCCCTGGCCCTGCARCCCGCCGGGCGCTCGCTCCTCGCCCACCGCGGACAGCTCCCACCTCCGCCCCCAGGGGACCACCACTCCGAGCCCCTCGCCAGGGCGCCCTCGGAGCCGTCTGTGGGCCATAGGCGTCCCCCACGCTCGCCCACCGGGCTCCCAGCCTGCCCAGTCAAGCCCCTCACTCAGGACCCCTCTTCCACCCAGGTCCTCCTCCTCGAGTTGAGGGAGCCCCTGGGCTGCCCCCCGTTGTGCTTCCCTCTACTCAGGGCCCGGAGAGTAGATCCCATCTCCATCAAACCTCTCCCTGGTCAGGTGCCCCAGGTCACCCCCCCACATTGGTGAGCATCCCCCGAGACCCGCCCCAGGCCAGGGCTCCCTGGGCCTTCTTGAATAGCAGGTCCTTCAGTGTCCTAGGGCCTGGCCCTGGCTCCACCACCCAGAGCTGTGGCCGGTTTCCCTGGCCTGGGCATCTCCGGGTGGGCTGCCTTGCACATGCGAGGACCCCAGGGCAGTACAGCCAGGCCTCTCTGCTTTGCCTCCTCTTGCTCTGTGACCTTGAGCCAGTCCCTCCCCCACCCAAGCTCCATGCCCAGGACCCACTCCCCAAATAGAAGGTGGGGATGGGATTCAAACGGCACCAGGTGATCAGCTGGCATGGACTCAAGGATCATTGGATGTGAGGGTGTCCTAGTCACGGGATTCCAGTCCCCAAAGGGCCCCTCTGGAGAGACCACTGCTGACGAGGGCACCCAAAGCCAGACAGGGTCTGCATCTGGGGCTGCAGAACCCCACCACCATCACAGACCCTAGGTCCTTGGGTCAGCAGCAGCAGCATGGGGCTGTCCACCAGTGTGCCTGCTTCCTCTGCCCACCATGAAGGGGCCACCTCTGCAGAGCTGCTGGCACCCAGGCCACCAGCCCCCTTCCTGCTCCTAATGCTGAGATTCACTGTGCGTGGAATCACAGACCTCCTGCAGGCCCAGCTAGTCTTCTGCAGCTCCCCAAGTTTTCGGACTCGGAACTGGGCTCCGTGTTGGCTGTCACTTTCATTATCACTTTGTTTTGTTTTTCCTGACAAATCTGGTACCTCCGAGAATTCAGAGCATGCTCCAGGCCCATGGGTCCAGCCCAGTGCGTCCACAGAGCCCTGGGACTGCTGTGAGAACTGGGCATCCATCTGTGTGGGGACTGCCCCATGCCAGGCACCTGCCCCAGGGCCTTTTCCACCTTATCACCCACTGGCCCAGCGTCCCCGGGGAGACAGAGGAGAAAACAGAGGCCAGGGACAGGATCTGCCTGTCCTGGTCCACACCCCCAGACCTCGCCTGGTTCTGGGGCCACCCTCAAGCCCTCCCCTGCAGACACACAGGCCTGAGGGAAAGGACCTGTCCAAAGTACAGGGACGTAGAGCCAGGAGGTGCAGGCTGCCCTCCCCGTGCCGAGGACACTCAGGGCAGTGGGGAGGAAGAAGAGGACATAGATTCTGGAGACAGGCCTCCCACCTGCTGTCCCCTGCCCACGGCTCTTCCCCTCCTCCAGCTCTCCAAGGGTGGTGTGCTGTGACCTCCAGAGGCCACGGGCCCCTCTGTGCCTGGGAGAGGAGAGAGATGGTGAAAGGAGCCCTCCCAGGGAGCAGGACTCCTAAGGACACATCAGGCCAGATCACCAGGGGATGCAGTTTAGAAAGCGGGAGGGTTGGGAGGGATGGTTCTTGTTGTGCTTTGTTTTGTGGTACTGGGGCTGCTCTACCACTGAGCTATGTCCCCAGCCCTTTTACATTTTTTATTTTGAGACAGGGCCTCACGAAGTCACCCTAGCTGTCCTTAAACTTGCCATCTTCCTGCCCTGGCCTCCCGGGTTGCTGGGGGGACAGGTGTGGCCACCGTGCGGGTAGGGCGTTTCCTATTTAGTCTGACCTTTAGCATTGTTATCCACTTCTTGGCTGTGAGTTCCTACCACGCAGAGGTAGGGAGCTGCTTTAGGGAGTCCCGCCTGGGGATATGCAAATTGTGGTCTTGGACCCGCTGTGTCAGGGCGCATTATTGGTGGGGAGGCAGTTCCCAGGGCCAACTGATTCCTCATTTCTGGGGCCAAGGCCCTGAGATCCTCACTTTAAACTATGGCACTGCCCCTGGGGTCTAGGACGGGCCAGGCCCATAGCAGGGAGCTATGGTTGCTGGGATGCAGTGTTTTGCCCTCTGKGTTCAGAGCCCGAGGACACAGTGGGTCAGGGTGGTGAGAGGGCTGGTCCAGGTGTCAGAGCAGCAGAGGAGCCGGGTCAGCTGGCTGCCAGGAGGTCACAGCTTGGGGACGGCTTATAGCAGTGAGGGAGCCTGGGCCCGGAAGAGGGAGCCCGGGCCTCACCTCTGCCAGCGCCTGTCCTCAGGGCCTGAAGCTGACRACCCTCTGGGCTGGTGGCCTTCTGTCTGACTGTCCTCTCCACACAGGGTCGGTCTGGGCTTCTAGCAGCCGCCCCGTCCCTCACGCGGCAGGGGGAAGATGCCCGAGCAAAGCAACGACTACCGCGTGGTGGTGTTTGGCGCGGGCGGTGTGGGCAAGAGCTCACTGGTGCTGCGCTTCGTGAAGGGCACGTTCCGCGACACGTACATCCCCACTATTGAGGACACCTACCGGCAGGTGATCAGCTGTGACAAGAGCGTCTGCACGCTGCAGATCACGGACACCACCGGCAGCCACCAGTTCCCGGCCATGCAGCGCCTGTCCATCTCCAAGGGCCACGCCTTCATCCTGGTCTTCTCGGTCACCAGCAAGCAGTCGCTGGAGGAGCTGGGGCCCATCTACCAGCTCATCGTGCAGATCAAGGGCAGCGTGGAGGACATCCCCGTCATGCTGGTGGGGAACAAGTGTGACGAGACGCAGCGGGAGGTGGACACCCGCGAGGCCCAGGCCCTGGCCCAGCAGTGGAAGTGCGCTTTCATGGAGACGTCCGCCAAGATGAACTACAACGTCAAGGAGCTCTTCCAGGAGCTGCTGACGCTGGAGACCCGCCGCAGCATGAGCCTGAACATCGACGGCAAGCGCTCCAGTAAGCAGAAGCGGACAGACCGCATCAAGGGCAAGTGCACCCTCATGTGAGCCGCTGCCCGCCGCCCGCCCCGCCGCCTCCGCCCGCGCCTCCTGCTCCTCCACTCTCCCGTCCGCCTCTCGGCTGGGGAAACCGAGGCTGCCTGGCCAGCGGGCGGCAGGGCTGGGCTCCCCCGGCCCCTCACATCGCTATGCCCTCCTCCCCACCCGCCCCCTGCCCTGTCTGGACCCCCACAGCCAAGCGGCCCCTCAACCCACGGGGGGGGGGGTGGGGAGCAGGCAGCCAGAGGAGCTGCGCGTCCCAGCGGGGACCAGAGAGGCCATCTCTCCTCCACCGCCGCCGAGGACCCATCTCTGTCCCCCACCCTGAGTGTCCCCAGCCAGATCCGTGCCCCTCCCCCCCTTTGATCACTGTGACCTTCCGGGGGAGGGGCGTCCAAGTGCACATGGACCTCAGAGTGTGGTGTTTTTCTCTTCTTGGTGTTCGACCTGCAGCCAGTCTCACCCAGACCCTCATGACCTCTGACCTGTGCCCCCTCCCTGGGCCCCGGGAACACCCATCCTGTCCCTGTCCACTCACCTCGGTGGAGGGGCCCGTGGGATGGGCCTCAGGCCACCAGGCAATAACCATGGGGCCTGTAGGGGCACCCCTGCCAGCCCCAGTAGCACCCCTCGACCAGCAGACAGCCACAGCACAACCCCTGGGACTGTCCAGCCAGGACTGCCCGAGGGGCAGATGGGCCCTGGGGCCTGAGTGTGAAGGTTTCCCCGGACACTGTGCCCTGGGGATGTGCCCTTCCTTTGAGGCACAGATGCTGGAGTGGTGGTGCTGGGCCTGGGCACTGAGCGCAGGGTGCCGGGGCCGGCCAGGGCCTGTCAGCTAAGGCCCTGTCCAGAGGAGGCGATGGCACTCCACACCAGCAGGACCTGAGGGGGCTCCAGGTGGAAGGCCGCCCTGTCCCCTCCTCCACCCAGGAAGCGTTGCCCAAGTCTGGGGCACCTGCAGCCTCAAGGTTCGGGGTGTCTCTGTGAGACCGTCTGGGCCACTCCACTCAAGTGACTCCCCGGGGGCTGTGTCCTTCAGGAAGGACACTGCGGGAGGGTGCGTGGGTGGTGGTGCCTGTGCGTGTCTGTCGTTTGGACGGCGTGTCTGCAGCCTGCGTGAAGCAAAGGTGTAGTGCGTGTGGCGTGGACGGTGCCCGTGTGTGGGGCCGGCTGAGGGGTGTCTGCTGAACCGTCTGTCCGTATGGGCACAGTTGTCTGGGGGGTGCCCGACGTGGTCTATCTGTGATCCTGTTTTTCTGACTCTCTGAGGGTCACCTGTCCACTCTCGTCTGTGGCAAGCTGACTTGTGGCTGCAGGACAAACTGGACCCCGGCAAGCCATCGCCAGGGCAGCCACCCGGAGCTCCACACGCCACCACCTCACCGTTCCCGGGTCAGCCTGGGTGGGGGGAGCCAGATCCCACTCAGGGCCCCACGAGGCCGCGCTCCCAGTGTTGGCCGGGCTGGGGTCATCTGAAGGCCCCGGGGGATGTGCTGTCCGACTCCCGTGGACTCCTCAGCATTCCGTGCCGAGGGGCTTGAGATGTGGCAGCTAAGCGTGCAAGGGAGAGAGTGGTCCCCCAGGCGGAAGCCCCGAGGGTTGGGGTGGGAGACTGTGTGTGCATGTGCGGGACGGGAGGGGGGCGCAGGATGCAGGAGGCCCCTCTGTGGCTGACGTGTTGAGCTGATTGCTGTCCTCTGTGTTCCTGTGGCTCCTGAGTGGTTCCTGGCACGCTTGGAGAGGTGTGAGTGTGTGGACCTGTGCGTGCRAGGCTGCGGGGTGACAGGGCTCCCCTGCCCCGGTCAGTGGTATTGTCTGAGCATCGCTCTGACCCTTCAGCTGGCCCAGGGCCCCCAGCAGCTGGTGTCACCAGGGCCCCTGGCTGGACAGGGGTCTCAGCCCTTTCTCAGGGACATGCCCTGATAGCACAATCTCCCTGGGGCCCGCCCGCCCGTCCCCAGGCCTCTCCGCCCCGGGCCCTGCCCCCGCTGGGGAGAGGGACTGCCATAGGAGGGGCCGAGCCGCCCTGACTGCTGCCCGCCTGCCCGGGCATCCTGGTGCTGGGGACCTGCCAGGCCAGGCTCGCTGTGACCCCGCCCCTCCCCCCGCATGTGGGACCCCCGCCCCCTGTGGGGTCTGTGTCGCACTCGCTCATCTAGACATAGTCTTCCTGCAATAAAGAAGTGGATCCTGTGTTCTCCCGCGGCTCCTGCGCCTTCTTCCAGGTGGGAGTGTCGGGGACGGGGAGGTGATGCGTGGGGGGCCGTGGGGCTTGGAGGAGGAGGGCTCTGCGGAGCCTGGAGCAGGGCTGTGACTGGACACTGCTCCACGCTGGCTCGCGTGACTCCTCCCAGGGCCTCAGTTTCCCCCTTCACTCTGCACCATGAGCCTGGGGCCCCCAGGCTTCCTGTGACCTTGGATGATTTCCCTGCAGGGCACAGGGTGGGAAGGGGCAGGTTCACGGTGGGCATGGGGGGCACCCGGCAGGGCTCCCTCCTGTCCCCAGCACTTAAGATATGTCCTCGGTCACCAGCCCTCAGGCCTCACCCAGACCAGAGGGTCTGGTTCAGGGACAGAACGGGAAGAGCTGTGCTCCTCCGTCCCTTCATCCAGTAGGTGACAGGCACCCCTGTGCCCTGGCCCTGCCCTAGACATGAACCGCGGGCTCCCTGCCCTCTCAGAGCTCCTCACCTCTGGGGGAGAGGGCCCCCACAGAGAACTGGCTGGGCCATTCAAGATGTGTGCTGCAYACGGCAAAGACGACCTGCACTGCAGACCGCCGTGGGCGTGAGTGTCCGGGCCGGCTGGACTGGGAAGGCAGGGTGGCAGTGGCTCGGCAGGGTTGGAGCATCAGGTGGCGGGGGGAGCGGGGGCAGCACATGCAAAGGCCCTAGGGCAGGAGCCTCTGAGGCCACAGTGCCCAGAGAAGAGGAAGGGGAGGGTGGTTGCCAGGGAAGCCAGAGAGGTCATGCAGGGCTGGGGACCGAGAGTCAGGGTGTCCTGCAGAGGACACTGGGCCATCAGATGACATTTGGTGTTTCCTGAGGGCCCTCACAAGGGCCTAGAGCTCACTGCAGTCTGTTGAGGACAGTGGGAAACCCATGAGATTCTATCCCTTGATTCTTAGTGTGTGGTGCTGGGAGTGGAGCCCTGGGCCTTGCCAAGCTGAGCACCGCTCCACACCAGGCCCCAGGCCCAGCCAGGGCCCCACTCCCAAGGTGAGGAACTCGCAGGTCCTCATCTGCCATCTGCACCACACGACTTTGTGGCTGAAGTCCAGCTTCCCGGGTCCCCGGGCAGGGAAGGTGGGTGGGGGCACAGCTGTAGGGTCAAAACTGGGGAGCCCAGCTGCACCTAGGGCAGGAGGGGTCATTTTTGAGAGTACCCAGCGCCAGTGTGCAGCAGGGCTCCTGGCCCGGATCACCCCTCGGTGTCGAGCACATCCCGTCCCTGCTGGGGCCAGGCATCTGGTGTATTCTCAAAGGCCAGGAAGAGCCCCCTGGACAGGGTTAGGGGAGTCGGCAAAGCCCTCGCTTTGAGCACAGAGTTTAAGGGGTCTCAGCCCACAACCCTCTCTCATCAAGATAGACACGTGTTTAAGGGCTGGGGAAGGGGCTCAAGTGGAGCACACTCACCTGGCATGTGTGAGGCTCTGGGTTCGATTTTCAGCTCCGCATAAAAATAAAGATACTGTGAAAACCTAAAACTAAACAATAAATATTTAAAAAAGATAAATAAGTGTTTAATATACTTGATATAATTGTACATCAAATATAAATTTGTTGGTAATATGATTAATGTGCACTAGTGCAACTATTATTATTATTATTATTATTATTATTATAGTAATAGTAGTAGTATAGGGGATTGAACCCAGGGGCACTTAACCACTGCACCACACCCCCGGCCAATTTTGTATTTTATTTACAGACAGGGTCTCACTGAGTTGCTTAGGGTCTCACTAAGTTGCTGAGGCTGGCTTTTTTTTTTTTTTTTTTTTTAAGAGAGAGGGGCACTTAACCACTGAGTGACATCCCCAGTG